TGATTTAGAATATTTATTAGAGTACCTTAGCCAGAAATTAATAAATGTAGATATTAAGTAAACTAAGTATTTAACTTTGTAGAAAACATATTTCGGAAAGACTTGCTAAGCTACTTAAGTATAAGAGAGTATACTTATTTGCATTAATTCCAAACAGGAGATTGAGGATGGAGTTATGTAATAAGCGAGAAGGCGATTAAGAAAACTATGTTACATACTTGAAACTAGGATTTTTGATCGTACTAATGCATCTTTCAATATATTCCACTAGTTTAGTTTATTGGTCAAACGTATTACCGATATAACGTAAGAAGACGTGCTTCCGGTGTGTGCACGTTTAGTCGAGCACCTCCCAGATGCACGTAACGGGCCGTGACGAAAGGAATTTAAATACGTTAACAGTGTGTGCGCGTTTCTTGAAAGATATGTCCACCTGAGACATGTTTTGAACCCATATGTGCGTCTAGTTCTATAGACTCCACTACGTTACACACTATTCTTCCCCCATTTCTTAGGTAACCCGGGTATCTTAAAGACACTTTTTTTCCCACACGCAAATATTTCACATTCTCATTTTGCTTTTTTTTTTTAAGATGAGTTCTAATTTAGAGTAACACAAATGCAAATTCAATTGAAAACTTTGCAACAATCACTTCCACTTGAAGACCTTTGCAATGCTAAAGTAGAAGGGAAAATGACTATTGATGGAGAACTGAGAGGGGAGAGCAAATGAGGGAGAGAAGAAGAAGAATAGGGTAGGGGAAGAGGAATGGTAAAAAATTTTAGGGACAGGAAACACGCTAAGCTACAATGCGCGTTTATGTTTATCAAGGACACAGTCCAATCACAAACACGTTAGAGACGCAGTAACTCTAGCTGCGCGTAAGTGTTAAAGACACGGTTGTCTCCATTGCACGTCAAAGCCCATCAACGATTCGTTAGTACCTTATCTATCGCATCTATAGACACCTGCCACGCAATAAGCACATTTGATAAGTGCGCGACTAAAAGCGTACACACTTAAAGTGTAACAGCCCCAAACCCTGTAGCAGGATATTGTCCGCTTTACCCCGCGCACAAGCACCATCGAGCTCACGGTTTTACGTTTCGGGTTACCCCCAAAAGGCCTCCTATAAGGAAAGGTATCCACACCCTTATTTAAGGCATGCTTCGTTTCCCTCTCCAACCGATGTGGGACATTACATCCACCCCCACTGGGAATACAGCGTCCCCGCTGTACACACCGGTAAGAAAGTCCAATATATGCCAAGCAAGTCAATATAGGCCCAAGAAAATGATAAGTTTATAAGTTTTAAGTTTCATAAGTAAATGAAGTACAATTAGTGATTCACAGTGCATTTTGTCAAAAATGGTGCAAAAACCATACTGTGAATTATGAATATTGTTTTGTAAGAAGTAAAAAGTAATGTAAATGATTTTAGAAAAATAAAAATATGTCAGTAGCTTTAAGTTTGTTCCGGGTCAATTCAAGTAAAAATACGCGATAGAAAAACATCCGGTAAAGCCACAAGTATTTATAAAACAAAAGTGACTTACAAAAATCACTATTCACATTAAAAAAAACTGCTCTCTTCTCTCTCTTCTACCCGAGGATCAACCATGGGAAGGGTTAAGGTTTGCTTTGTTTCATTTCTTGATTTCTCCATGAATCCTACACTAAATCATTGACCCATTATACCAATTCCATAGGAAATCACCCAAGGAAGCCATTTCACCCCTCCATTTGAGCTGATTTCGTTTGTGGAGGGAGATATTCATCACCCCATTTTTGTGCACTATTCATCCAAGGTGGAAAAGGGAGTTTTTTGGTGTAGACTTGCTTGGAGGTTACCTCCTTGACCTTGTATAAGCTTTTGGAGGTAATAAACCTCTAATCCTATGCTTTTATTTTGTGATTTATGTCTTGAAATTTATGAGCATCTTTTGAGTGAGAAATAAATTAGTTTAAACTTTGATTTGATAATGAATCCTTGATGTTTTGGATTTAGGAAATGAAAATAAGTGTTTATATGAATGTAAAAAAATTAGAAAAAAATCATATGCCCTCCTCTATGTTTCGGCCTTGATAGGGTTAATAGGGTTTATTGTGCAAAGTTTTATGTGATGTAGTGAAAGGGTCTATTGTGTGAGAGTAAGTATGAATTTAGAAAAAAGGCCTAAGCGGAAAAATCCTATGTATTTTGATCCCTACACTTCGACCATGAGGGTTGTAAGGGACTTGGTGTTCCAAAATTGTATTGGAACCTTTAGATACATATATAAATGTTTAAGTTGCTAACTAAGTGAAGAAAGAATAATTAAAAAGAAAAGAACCCTTTTGCCTATTGTCCTTGTGGAGTTCGACCTATAGGGTGGCTTAGGGATATATTTTGTTACATTTCATTTTAATGAAATGTGTTGTAATTTATTGTATAAAATTAATGAGTTAAGAAGTGAAATGGCTTGAAAAAGGGTTGAAAAATACCTTGAGTTCCTAAGGGTAGGTTCACGGCCTTTTAAAGAAAATGGCATGAATAATGTTGAAAATTCTCGAGTGAACACTTGATTAAATTAAAGAATCCTAACGAGTATAAGGTGGTCTAGACTTGTGTATTGGCATAGCATTGGCAAAAACGTAAAGAAACGAAAAGAAGCGATAAAATGTATGCCTTATGTGAAAGCTAGGCATGATGGCATTTTATTAATTTGTATTTGTGGATTCTTGCTCTAGGTGTACCTAGGGACTAAAAAGGAATCAGAATCTCTTGAAGATATATAAGTAACTTGAGCCACAAGTAAGCTGATTGTTAAAGCTTCAAGAGGTAAGCTTTATGTTTAAGGAGTTTTTTCCTGCTTGAGTGCTCTACCATGGTTAGTGAACTATGGTTGGACTGTATGACTGTTATTTAGATGCTTTGTATAGATGCATTCAGATAGAGTTATTTGATAACATGATATGTTTTGCTCTGATATCACTTCTGTAATATGATTTCTGTAACAATCTATGGCCATTGATTGTATAGTACCCGGATGTCCGCTTTGGGGTCCTCCCTCGGGAACACGTGCGTTGATTTCCGCTTGGGGTCCTCCCTTGGGAATGACGGCTCACATCTCTGATATGATATGGATATATGCTCTGTTCTGTTATGATATCTGTTATATGTTGTATTCGTATACTCTGTATCTGACTTTCATGCAGGAGTGAGCCAGGGGTATGGAGAATTCTCGATAAACCTGGAGCTTATTGAGATTTGTAATCTCACCCCTCGTTGGGGCCATATTTTCAGGTGCCCAGATTCCCGGTGAGACCTCTCTAGTCAGGGACGCGACCCGGGGTTGAGGATTGTGGACGTATTGGATTTTGAGTAGCTGTAGGTTACTGTTTGTTTTGGAGTTTAGTGCTTTCACTTAGTATTACAGTATTTTGTGGATCATGATGTTAGATCCTTTATTTTGCATATGGCATGTATATGTTTTGTACATGCCTGTCAGTTTGATGCATGTACATTTGAGTATTCAGGCACGTTATATGATGATGTAGTATTCAAATAGGTTTACATTTTGATGGCATGATGTTAGATATAGTGGCACGAAGCCATGTTATGCATGCGCCCATGTATGGGTATTTGATTATATTTGGATACCTGGTATTTCTGAATTGATATGTTGTATAAACTGTTTATCAGGAAATGCTTCTGAGTGAGATTGAAAAATCCCCAGTTGTCCGATTTATAGAGGAAACTCTGCCCGATTTTCGTTTACGCCTAGTAAGAATTAAGGTAGAAAAAGAAAAAGAAAAAAGTTAGCTCATATTTTTGTAAGTTAAGTCTTCCGCTGTTTCTGTTTATATCATGTGTATGTTAATTGAACCGGCTCGAGACGAGGATGTTACATAAAGCGCGTCTTCCTGCATTATATTGATAATATGTTTGACCATCAAATTAAACTGGTGAAATATTTAAAAAAATAAAAACCAGTGCGGTCAAAAATCATGAATACCAAGTATCAAGTAGGGTTTCAAAATAGGTAACGTCTGATAAACTGGTCCGAATAATATCACAAAATGAATGAAATAATTAGAGAAGTTTAAGCAAAAATATATTTTGAGTAGATTTAATCAAATTTTATGCACGCCCAGACCCAAAAGGCAAGACCCCTTAGTCCTTTGTGTTGTCATATAATAGGAATGAAATGGAAATTAAAATAAAGTTTGATGCATGTTCATAGGAAGTTATACTTTATATTTGTATAAAGTGATGTATATAAATATGTATGGAGTTCAATTAAAAATTATATTATCTTAACCCTAAAAAGAAGTTTAAACCTCTAAGAAGAGAAGAGTAAACAGAGAATATTTTATTTATTTATTTTTAAAGAAAAGAGCGAATATGGGAGCGTTTGGTACAGGAGAAATTTTTATTTGTCCGGGAATCTCAATTTTCAAAAATATGATTTTTACATTCAGTTTATCATAATATCTGAAAATTTAAAATTTAGAAAAATTCAATTTCCCGAGAATCCGGCCAAATGCCGTGTACCAAACGTTATGCAGGGAGGGAGAGAGTTTATCCATAAAAAACGCTGGTTGAAAGTGGCGGGTCCCAACTCTCCATTCAACGCGATTCCACGCCATATTATTCAATCACACACACTACAGCTACAGCTGCTGCTGCATTAAATTTACTTCCGTGTTCTACCCACGTGCTCCTATTCTCCAACCGTTTCATCGAAAGAAAATAAAGAAAATAAAAGAGAGAGAGAGAAAATTCTCTATCATACTCTTTTTTTTAAGTTTTATTAACCCACGTGTTTAAATTCTCCTCTCGTCCTTCTCATACCCCCCTCTCTCTCTCTCTCATACTTTTATTCTCTTCTATTTTACGCCCCTTCTCTGTTCTTCGCACTCTCTCTACTCTGTTTCAACTGAAAAAGAAAAATGAAAATCCGCAACTCTTCGTTTTCTACGGCAATCGTATTCGTATTAATCGTTCTGACTTCAGGAGACTCTGTGGTTTCACTCGCCGAACAGATACCTTCCACCGATTTTGACCGCGTCTTGTTCACCGATCGGACATGCCGCAATCGGGAGTTATCCCCGTGCAAAAACAAGACGCGGCCAGGGACGGCGGCGGTGACGGACTGCGAGGTGTGGAGCGAGGCGTGCTCGGAGGCGGTGTTGAGCTTGGCGAGGTTGCCGGAGACGGCGGAGTGGTTGAAAAGGATTCGGAGGAGGATCCACGAGAATCCGGAGCTGGCTTTTGAGGAAATCGAAACGAGCCGCCTGATACGAGAGGAGTTGGATCTGATGGAAGTTAGTTATCGGTATCCACTTGCGAAGACCGGTATTCGAGCCTGGATCGGCACCGGGGGTCCGCCTTTTGTTGCAATCAGAGCTGACATGGATGCACTTCCCATTCAGGTTGCACTTCCACTCACTCTCCTTTGGATTGGTCCCTGCTATTTATTCTTCTAATTTTTCCCCCACTTTTCATTATCACTTTTTGAAAACCTAAAAAAATAAAATAAAAAAATAAAAAAAGCACAGTAATGGAACATTAATTTTTCTTTTTCCTTTTTTTCTCAAACCCTAATGTCTAATTTTATTTTTTTTGGACAATTACCTAGGGTTATTGTTATCATATTTAACCATTTTAAACATAAAAGAGTCTTATTTGTTCCAAAATTATTATAATCTTGTAATTTCATGCAATTTTAATTATGAAAGTTTTTATTTATTATAAAAAATACAAAGATATATTTTTATTAATAGAATGAGGACGTATAAGAACATTCCGAGATCTTTAATTTGTCTGATTCTGTTTGACGTTAATGATAAAATTTTAGATATTTCTTTAGTTCATTCAGATGTTTGGGCCTATTTATCTGACATAAATCTTGAAGTTTTAAATATTTTATAGATTTGTCAGATATTTTTTAGACTGACACAATTGTTAAGATAATGTACTTGGTTGTGTACTTTTTATCTTGTATAACAAATCCAAAAAGGTAAGTCATTAGGGTTAGCCATAGTGGTGTAAAGGATGTGAGTAGAGTGTAATAGGTGCTCTCTTGGCCTAGCACAATAAAAAGCTCTTGGCTAATAATTAATTTCTTTTATTGTCGTTATTTCACTTTGTTTGGATTAGTTAGTAATTTATTTTACATAAAAATAAAATTCTGTCTCATTTACGATTGGGATTCGTTGTAGGAAGCTGTGGAATGGGAGTACAAGTCTAAAGTTGCCGGCAAAATGCACGCTTGTGGGCACGACGCACATGTTGCTATGCTTGTTGGTGCTGCCAAGATTTTGAAAACTCGAGAGCATTTACTAAAGGTTTGTTCTTCCCTCATCTCTCCGGAGACTCATCTATTTATTTATTTTCAACAACGTGGTCGTCCATTTCTTAGAATTAATTATAAATACATCCTTATAATACATTCTCAATCAACCACAATGAGACAGAATTAAGAGGAGGTTCACCTAATATTTATACTTAAGGAATTTCAATTATAACTACGTGATTTATCCTTCTTGTTCAATTTTGAGTATAAGGCTATAGTTTGAGTATAAGGCTATAGTCTATAATGAGATCTATGAAGTTTGACTGTAATATGAATATCTTCATTCCTTACATTCATTGACCATTAAAAGTTTCATCTTTTGGTTCTTCCCTTTCTTAAGTACGGAAAGGAATTTCACACGCAATGTTCGTCCGAGAATTGTGCCTCCTTATAATGCCAGAACTTTATTTGCGGCGGCACTTTGGCCAAAAAGTCAAATGTGGCACTGCGTTTTTTCTTCTTATTGGAATCCAGTTAAAATTATTTTCAGTTAGTCTAAAATAATATTGTTTTTGAGATTCAAAAATAAAATAAAAATTAATATTTCTAAAATAAATTAAAATTATAAAAAAAAAAATTCTTCGTATCAAAATAACATCGTTTTAAGATCATTAGAGATAAATTATCTCTATTAACTAGAGATACACTGAACCTTTTTTTTGTGTAAGTACACTAAACCTTTTTATCATATACTAATTATGTTTTTTAAATTTGGGTTTAATATTTCTTATGCTGTAAGAGATAAAATTATCTGTTACACACATACAAGTATGTAGAGTCTTTGTAAAGTCATATGAAGAGAATAGAGAGAGAAAAAAATATGGACCTCAAATACTTTTATGTGTGTGTAAAAGATAGTTTTATCTCTTATAGTATAAAAGAAATTAAACCCAATAAATTTTGACTACCATTATGTTTTAATATATTAATATTAGTTATACACTATATGCTGTCCTTTTCAGTTGAAAAGAATTTTAGAAAACTAACTAAAATCTATACTGTTTCTTAGAGCTAATATTAGTTATACACTATATTTGGTAACATTAAACCCGAGAGCTAATATTAGTTACACACTATATTAGTTATACACTATATGCTCCTCATTAATAAAGTTTGTTTTGTCTTGTACCGGCCCTGGCACGTGCTTCTGTAGCGCTACCCCAGTGCTTTTATGTCGGTTTAAGAGAAAGAAATGTTTCAGGATAAAGTGGGACATGGTGGGACCCTTAAACTTATGATATCAAGCATAAACTTTTCTGTATCTTCGGACATTGGGGGGCTACAAATTTAGATGCCTTTCCACTGTTTATTTGGATAGAAATATTAGTTATAAATTAAAATTTCTCGCATGCCTCGAGTCGTGTATAATGAGGTTGAGAGGTTTTTTTAACAACATATTTAGATGATAGCAGCTCTAGTGCATTGTTAAGTGGCAGCTAACGGATGGGAGTCTTGTCTACTACTTGCACTAGGTTTAGAACTTATGGAAAACGTGAACATAGAATGATAGATGGGAATCTTGTCTTCTACTAAGTTTAGAACTTTCAGAAAAGGCGAAAGAGGCTGTGATTCGAAGTGGGTTAATCTTTATTTTCGTGATGGGTGAAGGTGCGGATTTTCTCAATCACAGAGTTTGATTGGTGGGATAAAAGGTGTTTTGTTTCAATTTTTAGGCGATGTAATTTGGAGCTAGTGAAACCTTAAAAAAGAAAAACTATTTCATTGACGATTGGATACTTTTAGAGGAGCAGAGAACAGATTAAACTCGACGTCAAACCACAAGTAGAGTTCTCTAACTTCAGTTAACCTTTGGAAAATCAACACCGGTGCTCCAGTTGTTGATTATAGACCATAAAGTTTATTCTTAATAGAGTTGGAATGGGGGCTTGGATCATTCATATGAGTGTTCACATAACCATCTCGTGAAGAGAAAATAAGCACATTTCACATTCTTGAATAATTTTTTTTCATAAATACTATCACGAGTCTTTATACCTATGAGCTTTTTTTTTTTTTGGTTGGAGGGGGGTCTTAGATCTTTTCATACTCACCTGACTTTTATATAATAGGACAGGTTATATTTACAAACTTTTTTGTTTACAAACTCTTACAAACTACACTATCTTCTCCGGGAGAATACTAGTGACACTATGTTCTCCGGGGAGAAGATATTGTAATTTGTAAAAATTTGTAAAAAAAATTTGTAAACGGATCATTCCTCTTATATAATATATAATTTCAAATAATTACAGATTTTGGACTCTACTTTATACCCGACCTGTTTAGTCGTAACCTTAATAAGAACAATATCTGCTGCTATCCCATGCAAATATGTATGGAACAGACAAAAAATAGAAATGTATCGTATGACTAAACTTCTTCACAGTCGAACTCAACTCATCTACCTTTGCCCTTAACTCTATACTCTTGTTCTGTCCATCTACAGGGAACTGTAATTCTGATATTCCAGCCAGCGGAGGAAGCTGGTAATGGTGCAAAGCGAATGATACAAGACGGTGCTTTGAAGGATGTGGAGGCTATATTTGCAGTTCATGTATCTCATGAGCATCCAACTGCTATAATTGGATCGAGGCCAGGACCCCTGTTGGCTGGCTGTGGATTTTTCAGAGCTGTGATTAGTGGGAAAAAAGCCCTTGCTGGCAATCCTCACCACTCTGTTGATCCAGTTTTGGCCGCTTCAGCTGCAGTTATCAGCTTACAGGGTATTGTCTCCCGTGAATCAAATCCCCTGGATTCACAGGTATTGCCTCATAGTAATATACCTCTCCTCTTTCAAACTCAATCTGTGTGTACTTCTTGCGTACCTTCTCTAACTATGTATTTGGCCACCATTACAAAATAGGTTGTCTCTGTGACTTCCTTCAATGGAGGCAACAATCTTGACATGATACCGGATACAGTGGTCCTCGGTGGAACTTTCAGAGCTTTCTCTAACACCAGCTTTTACCAGCTACTTGAAAGAATAGAGCAGGTTAGCCACTTGTCTTTAAAATACCTCATTTCTATTTGTTAGGTGAATGTAATTGACTGAATGAGCTTAACTTGGATCCTATTGCTGCCTCAAACAGGTGATTGTGGAACAGGCCAGTGTCTACAGATGCTCGGCAGAAGTTGATTTCTTTGAAAAGGAGTACACCATTTATCCTCCCACAGTTAATGATGACCGAATGTATGAGCATGTGAAGAAGGTGTCCATCGACTTGCTGGGTCAAAAGAATTTCAGGGTAGTCCCACCAATGATGGGTGCTGAAGATTTCTCTTTTTACTCCGAGGTGGTTCCGTCAGCTTTCTTTTACATAGGTATAAGAAATGAAACACTAGGGTCTACTCACACGGGACATTCTCCATATTTCATGATTGATGAAGACGTTCTACCAATAGGCGCTGCGGCTCATGCCACCATTGCAGAGAGGTACCTCATTGAACATGGCTGATGTCAAAAAATAGAAATCCCCTGCCCATTTCCACTCAACTTAAGCACAAAACTGGTACACACGTTTATCGGTCGTCTGTCCTTATGTCCCCTGTATTTGTTGCTTGAGATCTATGAAGAGTGGAGTCAAAGGCTATCCTTTTATCTGTAGAGGGTAGGCTCATAAGCCAAAAAGGGGAGCGCCAAAATTTGTTCAAAGGTGTTTTAAAATCTGTTTATCTTCTGTGGAGGCAGATGTCCAAGAGTTCAGACTATAAAATAATAACTTAGTTTTAGGAAATCTTTGTATAGTTTATTGACTTTTTCTTAATGAAATCTTTCCAATAAGCTCGGCGTATTAATAGAAGGTTATTGCCAGCTAATATAAACTGCAATGCCAGCGTCCTGAGGATACAAAAGAGTAAATTAAGTAGTAGCTAGTATAGTTATGAAATTTGGCTATACTTATGAGCTTTACATCCTACAATAGCTACTCGATCATAATCAAATTTGATCTTATTAACCCCCTGCTATTACAAAATCAAGTCACTGCCGCATGTCAAACACATGAAAACAATGGGCCAATCATATCATCCATTACATGTTTTACAACATAAATTGCATTCTGTACTAAAAACAGAAGACAAATGGAACAGAAGCATTTACTTTCAAAGATACACTTCATTTCACCACCAAATATATTACAGTACGAAATATTCCGCAGCTGAGCACATTCTCTCTAATTATACAACAATGCCTTGACAACTGACACGTTTAAATAAATGGATTAGAAAACAGCATAATTTTTAAGCCCTGCGTACTGGCAAAATGCTTTGAGCTTTTGGGCATTCTACAGTGAACAATGCGCTACATATTTAAAGAATCTCATCTCTTCTCTCCACACAAACTTCTGGCAGCTTGCAGAGCAAAATATGTAAGGATGATGTCAGCACCAGCCCGTCGGAGGCACAATAGTGACTCCATCATAACTTTTTCTTCATCAATCATTTTGAGCGCACCGCCAGCTTTTATCATTGAGTATTCACCAGAAACCTATTCCATCAATTAAGAAGGATTATGAGAAAAAAGGGAACGTGATACAATAAAGCAACAGAAACATGTTTTCAAACTATTCAGAACTATTTCTTCTCATTCACATAAAAGTATATTGGGGTTTTCTTTTATTCCCAGCTACAAGACACGGCAATTTAGGGTATCAAGCATCACCTCATCCATGAAATCTTTGATGAGCAACATTCATACGTTGTTTACTTGTTTCCTTTCTTCACCAACTGCAATTGTATTTTACCTTTTTATCATACATCTTCCACTGTCTAAACAAAGATTGCAGAACCCTCAGAGGGGACACCGAAGTGGAAGTGAAAGTTGAGTAATCTTTTTAGAACACATAACCAAAATAATTTCTTCGAAGTCTTATTAACTTCATACTTTTCTGACTTTTTCATTAACAGTACATGGAGTTCATAGACATTGCAAGAATCAAAGAAAGCCACAGATATAATGATTGTTACATAAACAAATTTCCATCTAATCATCTCTGAAAAGAATTGGATTAGAATTTGATCAAGTGTAATAGCATAATGGCAAAAGAACAATAACTGTTAAAACAAACATAAAACTTGTGCCCCAGCCCGTTCTTATATTAGAAGGCTGATTTTTGTCTACTTCTGATAAACTTCTGTCACTTCTAGTAAGCTTAATGTAGAGCATTCATTGGTCAAAATTAATTGAACATTTGATCAACATTTCATCAGAAACATTTTGCCTTAGAGCTAGAATGTACTAGAGAAGAACCTGATATGCTGCAACTGGCAAAGGAGAATTATCTCTAAGCAACCTTATGATGTCCAAATAAGGAAGGCCAGGTTTCACCTACAAATCCATTTTTTTGAAGTTTGAAAACAAAAATAGTATAGACAAAAATGAGCATAAGATGAATTTCATTCTAAACCACACGCACGCCCGCACCCCACAACCAAAAATAAAATTAAACCAACCAAGAGAATATCAGCTCCTTCAGATTCATCTTCCCGCATCTCAGTCAGAGCCTCTCTGTAATTTGCTGGGTTCATCTGATAACTTTTGTTCAGCCAGGCCAAATTTATGAGCAAAGTAAGAATGAATACTGTAAAATTGATTAGATATATGATAGTAAGTTCAAGATCAAACATACGTCTTCTTGTCTCCGAACCGGGGGTTTGAGTCCAGTGCTTCTCTAAATGGGCCATAAAATGAACTTGCATACCTGTTGGCAACAGATGAATGACATAGTTTAGGACTGAGTTATATACCAGACAAAAAGAGATTCATGAAGCTAATAACAACATCCACCTATCCATCTTGTTAAGCATAATTTCTATTCTTAAAGAATTGGTTCTTCAGTGACTAAACTCAGTAACAAGTGAATAACAATTAGAAAAAAATAGTGGGATGGCTCATGGCAGCAACAAGAAGCATATCTAAGGAATTTGAATGCTAGTGGCTATGGCAGTAAGGAAGATAAAATTGCTTACAGAACTTGAGCATAGTGGAACTGTGACGCTTAAAAAATGAATCAGGATGCCATGCATTTTGAATATCTTTTTTAATACCCCATGCTAAAACATAGATATCCATTGATACCAAGTCTAGATCCTTCATCAACACATTCTTGTAAATTATAACAGATCAATCAAAAAATGATATTCCTTCCATAGTAATTATCAATTTCAAATAATTTCTTTTTTTTTCATTGAAGTTCTTCCTAAATTTTGGATGTATGTACACAACTCTATAACTGACTAAACCTTAAGTAATTTCCAATGCATGCTGGCATAAACAGAAAATGAGAAAAGGAAAAAGAAATGGCCAAGTAATAAAATTACTTTGCTGTATAAGACATTATAGAAACATGCTGAAAGCCTTCAGCATCGAGAGCTGCTCGCATTGCTCCTACTCGACCATCCATCATATCACTAGGACTGACAACATCTGCCCCAGCTTGAGCCTTTTTGTAAAATCAACCAAAAACAAAAAAAGACAAGAAAGGAAACCTTAGAACTTGGAAACATAAAAGCATATAATGATTTCCTTAATTAACAATGCTCAACCATTTAGCTCCCTAAAAGTATCGGGAAAGATTACTTGTTGATAACTACCATTTGGCATCGATTCTTTCCTCTTTTATTTTATTTTTTAGAGAGTTGAGACACCATGTTAAAAGCCATTACATGAATTAAGAAAATTAACATTTATAAAAATGTGAAATTTATTAGGTAAATGAACATTTAGAGGCCTTACAGGAGGAGACCAATATGCTCAGGAAGTCTGAAGAAAATAATTGGTAACTGCCTATAGTTGAAGTGTGCGTATAAGACATGTAGTCATATTACCTGGGCTACAGCTTGTTTACATAGCTGATGAACTGTCTCATCATTCATAATAACTCCTACAAGATATCAAGGATATAAATTAGTACTTTATTGAGTGTTATCAAGAAAAACCGGTACCTTTAAGAAAAGTTTAAATCATGCAGATTAGCTCCTAGTATTTTACCAACCAAAGTTGAAAGTTAAATTTTTAACAATTTTCTTCTTGAATAAGAGTAAAGATAAACACACTAAAAAACATATTCAGCAAGTATTAAACTAAAGTTAGAAGTCTGTGGCTAGCATGACTTACAAGCTCCATTATCTTAATGATGACTTCAAAGCCAAAACACAGGGAAAAGGGAGAATGGTGATTCAGTCAGTTCCTGCCTTTATTTCATGGGTATGAGCATTCCTTTGTTTGGTATGGAAAAAGTCATGAGCCTTGATTCCACAGAATCAGGAATGGCCTTTCATTGAAGAATGGAATGAATTAAATCAATGCTTATTTTGTTCTCTTGTATATTCATTCCATGTGGGATCAGGCTTCGTTGTTGATGTATATTTTCCTTAAACCATTGCATATTAATTCCAAGTTCAAACATGAAAACAAAATGGAATAAAATAGATTCCAAGTGAACCAAACACTGAACTAGAATGACCATTACATTCCAAGCAATTCCATTCCGATTCCTATTCACATTCTAATTCCAAAAAATTTCATTTCAAGTTCCAAAATTACTGTAAAGGCTAGCTTATAAGTAGAATTAGATAGCCTATCAGAAGTCTTAGGGTAACCATAAGATGGAAATTCAAATACCAGAATAGAAACTTATACTGTTCATGTATTCCTTATTTTCTGCTAAGTCAGAAGGAAACGAAACAAAGTGCACACCGTTAGATTGCCAAACAAGTAATCTGCTAATACAAAGATCTCTATCAGTTTATCTCATGGTATAACACTCCCTTCCCTACCAGAAGACCTGAAATCAGGTATTTCCTCAAAAGCATATACACAAACACACAGACAAAACACAGCATCGACATGGACGTAAAAATGGCACAACACAACCAAATGTAAAATGTTTAGTTACTTTGGAAGTGTCGGGTTGTGTCTAAAACATGTTCCAAGGGGGACAATCCCTTTATATAGAGTACATGCTTCACAGTGCATTATTAAGCAAATGAATCATGCTCAGTAACATATATATCCTCCATGTCCTCAGGTCCCTAAGATGTGGGAAATAACAAAATAGGTTTAAATATAAAGAAAACCAACTTAAACAACTACAATTTTGCATTCTCAAAAGATTTCCAACTCTTGAGTAAAAAAGACAAATTTGACAGCTTACCATCTTCTCTAACTATACCATCATGCCCATCGGATGAATAAGGATCCAATGCAACATCTGTATATATAACCTGAAGAAAGATTGAACGAGAAAGGATATTTGCTTAACTTTCTACATGAACCAGAAAATATAATATCCTCAAACTGAAGAAATTATGTTCACTTACAAGGTCAGGGTACTTATCCTTAAGCATACGTATTGCTCGAGGCACTAAACCATTCTCATTGTATGCTTCATCTCCTGTGGGACACTAAAGGGGAGAAGCTGTTATACTAGATTGCAATTATTCTACAGAAAGTCTATGGTATGTAGGTGAGAGAATAGAACCTTCAAAGCATCTGGAATTTTAGGGAAGAGCACAACACTATTGACACCAACATCCCGTGCCTTGGCAACCTGAAGCACAAAATTCTCACTGAAATTTTCTTTACTTTAACAAGTTATACAAGATGCAGCAAGAATAATGTCACCATCATCCATGCAATTTAGGAATATAAAAAAGAGAAGGCTTTATGTGGGTGTGAGTGTGTGCACTCATCATAGTTATCACTTATCAATCTCGGATGGTGTCATGTAGCAGCCGACTCCAAAACTGCTATAGCAGGTCGCGACATAGCTGCTACAGGGAAGTGCAAATCAGAAGAGAAAATAGAGGTGGACTTGCCGGAGAACTGCAAATGAGTCCAAAAAAGACGAGAAAATGAAGTGCAACTGAGAAACTGTGGCAGGCTTGCCGGAAAACCACCAGCGCGTGGTGGGATTGCCAGAAAAGTCAAGAAAGAGAGAGCAATAATTCAAGAGATAGGGTCATAACGGTAACATATCAGGAAAAAAAAAAATCAAGTCAATTTCCCTCCTTTAATTACACAAGGAACATCGCACACATAAGGGCAAAGAGGGGATTTACCCTTCCTTTACTGTAGCAGCTTGACTTGCCACTATTGTGGCCGCCATGGTCGCTACTCCAAATGGTAGCTTGGAAAAGCAATAGAAGGATATTGATAACCTAGGCACTCAATAGCTATAAGCATATAATACTAAATAAGAAAAGTTTCTTCTATTTATTGAAATGTAACAGGCAGATTCAGTATGGGAAGTAAAATACCCAAACAAAACCAGCCAACTTCACCAAGCATGGCATGATTAAAACAAGTTAGACATTTGGAACAATCAAATCTGTCGAAACTCCTTGACCAAATTGAAACAGCATCAAACTTCTAATAAGTAGCTTAGATAATACTCAAGATGAAGCTAATCCATAAAAGTACATAAGGATATTTTATCTTGTTTATCGCAGGAGTGACATGAAACCAAGCAGAAATAGTTCTGCATGGAGACGCATTGGAATAAAATTATGCAAAAGAAACTCTACAGAATCTCCAATTAAACATGCTTGCCTTAAAGTAATAGACATCCCTCGCCCCTAATTCGCTACAACTTTTGGATGGTTTGAGCATATCAACATGTAATTCATTCTACTACATTTTCAAAATTCTGACTGCTTTGTCATTTTCTTTGCTAAAAATTAAGATCGTAAAAATAAAAACGATGCCTGAGATGATAATACTTTAGACAAAGGGCATATATGTGACTCATTTTAAGTTGTACATGACAGTATGAGACACAGAAGCAATAGCAGATAAAAACCTCTTCTACAAGCCCACGTCTCCAACCAAGCCTATAGCATCCAGGCATAGCCCCAATTGGGGTATCCTCGTCACCTGCGAGTTCAAATTTCTCACAATCCAAAATCAAATTGGCATGAGTATACTATACTACCAAGTACCTACAAACGAAGTTTATATAATTGATAAACGCTAGGCTACAAAGAAAGCATCATGCACAAAGACCAACCTTCATGTATAAAAAGTGGATACACAAAATTCGCAGCTGATAAACTTGTTTCCTGAAAAGCTGATCGAAGCGCCGGTGACTTCCTGTTACGACGAGGACGCCTTTGAAGTGGCTGATACAAAAACAAAACAATCAAATCATTTTGCTAAGCAAGGTGTAGCTACTAATCATCAATTACAATGCACGCTTGTCTTGCAATTAAGCCAAGAGCAAACTCACAAGTGAAGGTACCACCGGGGTTCCACTGGGCACCGCCGCTTTTGGCGGAACGGGAGGGGCCGCCGGCACGTTTCCGGCGACAACGGAAGCTTCGCAATCGGCGTCGGTCAGATGGCCGGCACCGTTGCAGGCTCTTACGGCGAAGAGGCGTGGAGGAAGAGACTTTGTTGCAGTAGCGGGCCAGCCCAACTTCAAATTCGTTGGTGTTGCTCTCAGATCAACATAGCTCTGGCAATTCACTGTAAAAGGTGCATTAGGGATCGTTAAAGCCATGAATTGCTCTAGAATCCCCATAATGCACAATTAACATCAGTTTGAGCACAAATTGTAATTTGAATCGATTAGATGAAACAGTGGAAAGAGTAGAAGTTTTACCGAGAAAATGCAGATCCGAATCGGAGAATCTTGGAAATGATAGGAAGAAGGGAGCGAAAAGGGAAAGGGCGCTTATCGGATGAGAGGAGAATAAAGAAAACCAATGAGAGGAGAGTTGTAGGAAGATGATAAGTGGGGACGAACACACACGATTCAAGAACTTCGCTCAATTTCCATTTCTGTCCTCCTCCTAAACTTTGTTTACCAAGTTGACGGAGTGCCAGTAAGGTGAAAGTGGGCTGCGCCAAGTTTTGTGCTGAAAAGTTAAGTTTACATCAAAAAAATTTAATTTGGTCTAGTTCAAGTCTAGTATGAGTTTAACTATTAGTCTGGTTTGACTCGTTTATAAAAAAACAAATGGCCTGACTTAGCCCATTAGCATGTTAATTTTTAATTTTCAAGCAGAATCATGAATCAACTTTACAAAGTACTCAAATTATGTTGTTACACCAAAAATCATAATTTCAACGTCCAAACATGAATCATAACAGAACTCATACAATATGCATTTAAGTCATTTTCAAAAGCAAAATGCTCAAACTAAATAACATATATTTCATCAGATCCAATAAACAAATTCATACTATGTAAATTAAAATAACTACATGAATTCAACAAACACATCATGATGCTTGTAGAAAGAATAACCTCTCCCAAAAATCTTTTAATATATTCATATACACAATCTAACATGTTGAGATGTTGGTTCCTCCTATATAAGAAATAAAGTAAGATTTCTATTAAAATATAATCGAATATAATTAAGTTATAAATAATTGCAATTGATTAAATTTATATCTTTTTTTTTCTTCAAGGCATACTTACTATATTTTATTTTATTTAAAATAAATAGTACAATATAGATCGGCCTGTAGGCTTATAGGTCCGGCCTTTTGAAAGTGGGCCTACGGCCTTTTTATTAAACAGGCTTTTTTAAGATCCGAGTCCGGCCTATTATACAAAATATATTAAGTCAAATCTAACCTGATGTAGGTCAAGCCGTAAACCTCTGTAAGCCGGTCCGGCCCAGTTTCACCCCAAGTGCCAGTGTGCCACTCCCCTTGTGAATTGTGATGAGTATAATTAAGTCAAAAATCAATTCTTTTTATTGGGTAATTATTCAGGTACATTGACAACTTGACAAGAGTCATTTACTGTTAGAATCAAATCTGATTGGAGGAAAGATGAGTTCTGTAATTTACCCGTTTGGTATGCGGGATTTTTGAAAAATTTTGACAAACTAAATTTTTTTAAATTTTAAATTTTTAGATATTATCATAAATTGAATGTAAAAATTATATTTTTGAAAATTAAGATTCTTAAATAAAATTTTTTTTTCCTCTACCAAACGCCCCATAAGGGTATATCATTGCTTAAGATTTTAATGGAATTATTTTTTAAAAAAATTGATTTTATTTGAAGATGATATTTGTTTCCAAAAAAAATGATATTTTAAAGGTTAACTTAAAAAATAATGTTATATTTATTATTATTTTTATCATTTTTTATTATAATTTTTGTTATCATTAGATCAAAATTAAATTAACAGTTATTAAATAATGTCAAATGAAAGTTATTGATTTAATTTTTTTGATCCAGCTATGAGAAGATCGATGGTAAGAAGTGATAAAAAAATGGTGGTTAGTATAGCATATCCTAACTCTTAAAAGAATTAATTTCATTTAAATTGTATAATAGAACCACTTCTGATATATAATTATAAGTTTTTTTTTTTAATTATGCATGTATTATAATTAGAACCATTTTTTAAATTATGTAAGTATTATAATTAGAAACAACTAGATTAATACGCATGTGATGCACAATAAAACATAAAATATAAATAACTAATAAATAATAAAAATTAATGCCTAAAAAAACTAGTTAGAAAATATTATTAGTTCCTTAAATCATTTGACAGTGCTTTATGAAAGTTGATTTTATTTTTAATATTATCCATCAATTCATAATTTGATTTAAGTCAGATATGAACACATGAACACAAAGCTCTTCCGATTAAATTTTAACACAATTATGTTCTTCCTAGATACTCAAATTTGAAACCATTAATTTAATTGAAATAATCTGTTATCAATTGATCCACCTGTTTTGAGACTTATAAAAGTTAATTTAAATTTGATTGAGAAATAAATAAAATGAAAAATCAGATTAATCTTGTTACATGACAAAATTATATGAAAAATTCAAAAGAAACTTATCTACAAAATTATAAAAAAAAAATTATTAGAATCTTATCTATTTAATGTTTATAAAAAAAGAGAAATAAATACAAAAATATAAGATAAAAAAATTATGTAAAATATAAAAATAACATGTATTAATAGAGGAAAGGAGTGAAACAGTTTATTATGTCATATAAGTAGGATTTTTGACAGGCATGAGTTTGGTCTAGTTAAAAGCCAACATTAATGGAACTGCCACCACTCAAAACACTTGCCCTTACATTGGAAAATATCGATGCACTGAATTTTTACTAATTTTTTTCATATAACATGACATGTATCTTACTTTTTTATCAAATCATTCTCTTATTTAATTTTACTTACATTGAGGACTCCATCTGTTACAATAAAGTTTTGGGAAGCTGAAGTTTGTGAAACGTACATGTTATCTAGAAAGGACACATTGGGGATGGGGATGGTGATGGTGAACCAGACTACTCCTCTTTCAAGCAGCAGAACATTGAATTCTGAGAGAGGGTTGCAGCCAAAGGGTACCTCCCTCCCATTATATGTAGTTGTTGTCATTTTTAATGGCGGCAGTTGAAAGTTGAAGCTAAACGTGAACATCAGAATAAGCTTGCTTTTCTTGTAAACGGGTAGCCATCTTTGTTCTCAGTTCTACTTACCAGAATACCAGTAATGAAATTAATTTAAAAATTTTGAAAATAAAATAAAAAATATATCTTATAAATATAAAATGAAAAATATATCTTATAAATATAGTTGATAACTAATTTATAATATGTAATATTTATTATGTTGAGTCATAATAATAAAATGAATGTCGATGTAATAATTTGAAAAATGTAACTCACATAAATATAATTACTGGATATAATTACAAATTAGGATCAAATGTGATATTATTATAAAATTTAGTTTTGGAAAAAAAAATAGACATAAAAGTGTGTTTCATATGTAATAACTTTTTATTTCAATTGTATTCACTTAAAAACAAATTTTACTTCTCACATGGTCAATTATCTCCACTAGAATCTCACTTTTATTTTAACTAGTTGATTACCCGTGCGATGCACGGAGAAAAAAATCGGTTTTTTTGTCTCGTAAAAGTTAGCGTAAAATTTAAATTAGATTGTTAGTTGGAATTTTATAGCGCACAATAATTCAAAAAATATTTACTGGGTAGATAAAATATGTAAGAGAGTCGTAAGTTAATTTTGATAGCAGTCTGGAAAAGACTTTAAGAATGTTACATTAATGACATAGAATATGGAAATAATAGTTTATTGCATAAGTGTTGCACAAAGAAAAGAGCAATTCTGATAAACTGATTTCAATGTAATGTCAAATGATGTCTATAATAGATTCAAATCGTACGTCATACAAAGAACAAAAAAAATTGACATATTGTGCTTGACATCAAGGTAAATTAAAAATAGTCCAACCTACCCTTGCAATTCTGATAAATTCTGAATAAAAAAAAATTATATCTATCAGCATTTTATATAAGCAGGTAATAGGTTTTTATATCTATCAACAAAAAAAATTCTTATAGTTGCATCTAAATTACTATCTATCTATCTATATATGTTTTCTATATTTAGACAGTAAACATAAAAAAAATAAAGTGTTGGCGGGCGGGGTGGGCCGGCCGTCCCAACCGAACCCATTTTACCACCTTAACTATTAGCATTTCATATAAGCATTTAATAGATTTTTATATCTCCACAAAAAAAGATTCTTGCAGTTGCGTCTAGATTACTATCTATATATGTTTTCTATAGTTAGACAGTATACATAACGAAAAAATATGTTGGCCGGGATAACTCGCCTTTTTGGCGGGCGGGGAGGGTCGGCTTGAGCCCATTTTGCCACATATATATGTCAGCATTTTATACCGGCATGTAATAGGTTTTTATATTTATCCACAAGAAAAAGTTTCTTATAGTTACTTCTAGATTACTATTTATCTATGTTTTATATAATTAGACAATAAACATAAGAATAAAAAACAAACTGTTGGTGCACTGGGTGGGCCGTCCCTCCGGGCCGAGCCTAATTTGCCAACTCTAACTGTCATTAATATATATTTTTTCCAGTTTTATAAATAATTCTAATAGGTATTATAATTAAGCCCAATAGACATAATAATAACTATCATTAATATGTTTAATAATTTCCCATGCAGAAAGTAGTAGGCAATATTAAATGCTAAATCTTTTTCCACCTCTCAAGTTCAAAATTCAAATTTAAAAAGTTTAAATTTTAAGTATTAAATATTTTACCTCCGAATATATATAATAATAAATTAATAGGCTTAACAATTTTCTATGCAAAAAAATAAAGGGAAACATGCTCAGAAGTCTGTGCACATTCTCCAAGTAATAGCTTCTAGGTAAAATCATTCACGATATAAAAAATTGTGTTAATTATACTCTTACATCAAAATAATGAAAGTTTGACTTCTTTCTAATATATTTTATTTTAAAATTTAAAATTCAACATGATAATACAATTAATTATACATACTTTTAAAAAATAATTTTTTTCTCTTTTAATTTATATTATATACATATATATATATATATATACATTTAATATATTTATCTGAAGTATTTTTTAAAAAGTTTCTTGTACGAAATTTGTTTCCTTTTTGTATCATTATTTTAAATTAAGATTTTAATTTACTTTGTTTTAAAGTATATTTTTATAATTTTAAATAATTTTTTTGGTTTAATTCGTAATTTTTTATTAGAATTAAATTTTTTTATGCATATCTTTTTTCCAATTTTATAATTAATTCTGATAGGTATAATAATTAAGGCCAATAGACATAATAATAACTATCATTAATATGCTTAATAATTTTCCATGCAGAAAGTAGTGGACAA